TTCAGCAAAGTCAGTCTTTTTAGACTTGAAACATTTATAGACTCATAACAACCTTCTCTCTTTTCAAAACCTAAATGATGAAATTCTTTAAAGTCATCTAGAACAGTTTTGTTGTATTCACAAATACGCTTTTTATTTTTCTTAAATTTGTCTTTGATCTGATGTACAACTTAGGGACGGATTGAAGATACTTCTTAAGTGCTCAAGTTCATAGCCAGTGCATGGATGTAAAAGATTCTTCCTCACAATAGTATCTTAAGTCCCACCTCCAACAAACCTGCAGCTATCTGTCCATTAAGGTAATCTCATTTTCCCACGGCGGCCATGTTGCTGTGATGTTAAGCACCTGAGGCGGGCTCCAAAATCTCAGGAAACGCCATTAACAGCCATTTTAAGGGGCGCCTGTGGCCTGGTGGTTGGTTTACGCGCCCCATGTGGTGAGCCTATGGGCCTCGAAGCAGGTGACCCTTGTTCAAATCAGACCTGAGGCTCTTTCCCGCATGTTATTCCCCACTTGCTCTCTCACACCAATTTCTGACTCTACCCACTGTCCTGTATTTCTGATATAGGGATAAAAAGCCCCAAAATGAACCTTTTAAAAAAAAACACAACAACACCTATTTTTAAAAGCCCATTTTAAGAAAACAAGTTTGCATGTAAAAAATACAATTTCTTATCAATAACTCAGTTCGTTATTGGAGTAATAGTTATTAACTGCATAATAAGTAGGCATGGCTGAGTTGACTGACACGTGAACATGTTGTAGGCTCTTTGCCACGAGGCTTAAGGTCTGCCTTACCTCCACCTGTTTGCCTGTTTTTTTTGATTGATCAAAAGTAAGTTTGAGACAGCATTTCCAATCTAGCGACTGCCATCGTTAGGCTTAAAAAAAACCTCTTCAGAAACATATGGGCAATGTCACTGAGACTGTGCTGCAGAAGTTTCAGAAGCTTGCTCAGTTTCCACCATTCAAGATGAAGTAATAGTGTTGATATCAGGAAGAGTTTGCCAATACATAAAGAAGAGCAAGCTCAGTTTCCTTACACCACTCTTAATAATCACTTCAAGCTGTAATTACATGTAAGATGCCTGTCAAGATTGGATTTATGTGGAGTGGGAGAAGATGAGGGTGAAAAACAAAAGTCTGACATCAAAGAAAATGGTTCTCAAGCGTCTTTTAATGAAGGGTTTGGAAAAAAAGTCTGGAGTGTGTGGTAATGAAGGGCTCTGGATCTTAATGTTGAGAGCTACCATGAACTAAAAAGTTTGTATTTCTGTCCCTGCAAGGCTGTGTAAAAAACGAGGAGTACATTAACACTTATGAGCCAGACCAAACACCCCAAGTATTGTATGTTGAACCAAAACAGTTCTTATCTGATCGTCACTTTAAAACACTTTATACAGTAAGTCCGTTTGTCGTTAGGTGCCACGTGTTAGGGTCAAAGCTTGTCCTGATTTGTCTTTTATTACACATAGTACGTTTTTTGATGATACGGCCTAGTATTGAAGTACTCAAAATCCGATTTAAGTTTCAAGTTCAGTCTTGAGACCACACTTTTCAAGTTTTGGTCTCGTCTCGGAATCAAGAGCATTTTTCTCGGTCTTGTCTCAGCCTCAGACTGGGGGGACTCTGGATTTTAAATCAAGATCGGTCAAGACCGTCACTGACAGGCTGTTTTTACACGTCATTACTGTGATTAGAAGGAAAACACCTCTTTCTTAAAGAACAAATAATTTCTATTCATTTGTAGTTGGATTTTTATTCCCCGTTTACAGTCACTACCTTGCCAGTGTTACAGTCTAAGTGAGTGACACGCCCCCTGCACTCAAGATGATGATTTTCATTGATATTTATGGTCTTGGTCTTGGTCTCAGTCTCGCCCTGCCTTGGTCTTGGCTTTGACTTGGTGTTGACCCCTAAATGTCTGTCTTGTCTCGGGGGATTTTACATGATTAAATTAAAGGTAAAACAAAAACTGTGGTAGCAGTAATCTGTTGTAAGTAAGACTCTTAGCAACCAATAAAAATGATGAAAATCTTCAAGAACGGAAAAAAAAAACTTTGCTTGACCCTCTTGCCTTTCAGTGGCACTGCCCTGACACTATTTATCTTTCTTTCTTCTCCCACCCTTTCTCTTGTCCTCCTGTTGACCTTTTTCTTGCCCTAGCTTTGCATCTTTCTTCCACTCCTGCCTTTTCATGTCTTGTCATCTCTTTTGCCTGTCCTTCCCCTCCGCTCGTTTTCTCGTAACCTATTCCTCTCTTGTCACTTCATCTGCTCTTCACTTCTCTACTTATTCCCTCTCCTCTCCTTTCACTTTTCATGTTTTTCTCTGAATCTGTCCAGCAGTCTCGTGCTTTGCATTTCCCTATTTATTTTTTGCCTCATTTCCCCTCTTAAATTCCCCCCCCCTCCACCCTTACCCTCCAGCTCTCTGTCCTGTCTCCCCTGTTGTTCATGGATTATTAATCATCTCGTGGAGCTGGAATGCCTCTGTGACACTCTCTAGACCCACCAGAGAAAGCTATTGACTACACATTTGGTTCAAAGTAAGCACAAGGGATTTTTTTCAAGGGTTGCTGAGCTTGTCCTCACAGCTAAGGTTAGAATAACGATTATTCACAAAGTTGAAAAAAGTGTGAAACAAGTAGAGAAGTAACAATATTCTTGAGTTAATGAGGTATACAAGATGCAAATGGCAAAGATATTGCAGGCAAAGCATGCATACCTTTGTAATGAGTTGTGACTTTGTTGTTTAACATAAACAGAATGTAATAAGATGCCGAATCAAATACAAAATACTCCTCCACACTTATCAAACCATCCACACCCTCACCCTTCACCACCTCTCCAACCTCCTCCACCCGCTGTCCATACCACACATTAGACTCCGCACCTATGGAGACATGGTTCTTTAGTGTCACAGCCCCCAACCCTCTGTAACACCCTCCCCCTCAGACATCCGCAATGCCCCATCTTTGGACTCATTCAAAAAAAAAAAACGTCCACAGCGTACCACCTCCCTTAACTCTGCCTTTCTGTTGGTCTCCCATCCTTTTGCTACCTGTCCCCGTTTTGTTTTTGTTTGGTTCTTTATCTGGTCCCTCTACCGTGTCAAACGTCTATGGGTCCCTTAAAAGGCGATATATAAATGAATCTATCATTACTTTTAATATCTCTCAAAGGGTAAAAAAAAAATGATTTCCAAGTAATCAATTTCTTATTCTTCCTTAATTCCAGCATTTGAATTCTTTAAAAGGTTTCCTGAGACATTGATGGAAGTAGTCTTGTGAAGTAGGATACTATGTTGTTAAGGGCCGAGGCAGCTCTGCACCCCTTTGAATCATGCACTGTCACAACCATCAGCTTACAAAAACATTCAAACTTAAGTTAAGATAATAAGATAAGATAAGATATACTTTATTCATCCCAGCAGGGAAATTTAGGTGCTCCAGCAGCCAGCATACATACAAACACACAACACAACACATATATACATACATATCCCACCCATACAAAAAAAAAAATGAGCCCACAATACAGTTTGATATATGATATATGCAACTCAGGCTAAAGTTTAAAAGTTTAAATGTCTTCTGTCCTTACTTAAAGGGGAGTCGTTATAAAGTACAATTGTAGTAGGTAAAAAAGTATTTTTAAATCTGTCCTTTTTGCAGCTAACCCCTTATGGGTTATTGGATATGATGTATTACATCCAATATGTGTGATAGCGTGAGGGGATAGGGAGGGAACTTTTCCCTGTCAGGGGTCTCCAACAGGTCTCCAAAAAGTTCCCCCTCCCCTCCTAGCTTATCATCTTTATATGGACACAACAGCTCAGTCAGCATGAGAGCTCAGTAGAGGTGCAGACGACTTTTGTTCATGTTCAGACGCAAAACAAGAGCAAACTGCACTGAGCAGAGTCAGACGTTGAGGCGGAGCAGATAGCTGGCGCAAATTATGCTCAATTCTTGGCAGTATTACATATCCTGAACATGAAAGGTTCTTAAAAAATATGAATATGCACAGCAAAAAGTATGATGTCAAACATAAAAAATGACTTCTCTCAGCACCCTCATCTACGACTGACCTCAAGCGAGCCTGGCCAGCACTATTCTCAAGTTGCAACAGCTACAGGTGTTCACGACGAACGGTTATTTCAATGTCAGTAAAATGTATTTTTAACATGAAGCTGCACTAAAAGTTCAAGCAACTAAAAAAATAATTTAAAAAAATCAGTGGCTACAAAACCCACACAAGTGTCCTGAAGTCTGAGCTGACGCCATAAAATAACCAAAGTTCCAAATGTAGTTCTCCAAAAGAAACCTAAAGAGAGTTGACCATCAAGTTGGCCGTGCCTTGCTCAAGGGCACCTCGGCAGTGCTCAGGAAGTGAACTGGCACCTCTCCAGCTATTAGACCAATTTCCAGACTTGGTCCTCAAGGGGACTTGAACCGGTCGATCAGATATTGGCCGGATGTAAAGTAACACAGAGGGATTAAGTAAAGACGTCTCACTTTGAGAGGTTTGTCCAATTTCAGATTGCTGTTTTCATGTTTCTTTGGTTTTTTTGTGTGCTGAACAGACTTTTATGAGCCAGCACAGACAACAAGCATCTGATTCCCAAGTCAGTCTGAAAACCTGGACGTAACCTCTCATTATTCTCACATTGATGTTATGAGTTAACAGGGGATACAACTAATGAGGCTTTAAATCACCCATCGGTTCCATTTACAGAGCAAGCCAAAAAATGTGGGCCGTTTTCAGGTTTAGTTTTCCTTCTCTTTATCTTTGCTTTGCTTTCAGCTCGATGTAAAATGTTGCTAAAACAAAAGTGACCCAAAACATTCAGTGGAATTCATTATATTACCGTGGTATGAGCCATGGCATCAGAACAGTTTCTGTAACATTTCTACATCTCTGATCTTTGTCTTTGTCTGACTGTTCTTGTTTCACTCTGATTTCCACTGATTCATTTTCCAATCTGCATTTCTCCCTAGCTGACGTGTCAAGAGAGGCTGGAGGAAGACTGACATCTCTTTTGGTTCAGCCCATATCTGCCTTCCTGGCAAAGACGTTACTGTCATCTCCTTCCACAGGACAGGGTGACTCCTGTGTGCCTCTGGCTATGCCTCCCAACACAGGTAAATTCAAATCATGTAGTGATCATGTTGCTGATTTTGTGACTTATTTTGAGTCGCTGCAGTCAGATGGATGGGGCCCTCAAACACTTCTGGATTTCTTGGTTACACAAGGCGGGGACCGATTATGAATCATGTCCAGGCTGCGTAACGTGGCATGTGCTCGTGCATGAGCAACCTGCCATGCCAAAGCACACGTTGAAGTGTACCGGGCTGTACAGTACGGATCGCTTACACTAGTCAAACAAACTGGACTTTGGGGGGTCAAACAAAAGGCTACAGTTATTGTAATCCTCAAAAATATCAATCGGTGCAATAAACAGTAGCACCCGGTGCAATAGTTAAGATAAGATCCTGTCCAATCCGGTCGGCTTGTCCAGAGATTTGAATTATTAATGAAGTTACGCACCTTGTGCGTAAGGTAGTGATCATTTCTGTTTCTTTAGAACATCTGACCCAGACACCTACATTGGTATTTTTTCCACATTCCCCTTAATGATAGTTTTTTTAACTGAACTACTTTGTGTTTTATTTATTTTTACAATAATGGCTAAAATGAAATAAAAAGTTATATATATCAAATGTGTTTTTCCCTCTACATTAATTTAGTTTTGGAAACAAACAACTTTAATCAGCTCACCCACGCACAGACACAAACACCAGGAGTGTGCCTTGCATTTTGAAAAGTTCCCCCTCGATATTCCATCATTTGTAGGAGTTCAGCACAGCATCAGCAGCAAGCATCTGCTGTAATAATAATAATTAACATTATTAAAACAAAGCCATGGGGCGCTGGTGAGGCAGTGGTTGATGCGCGGCCCAGGTTCGAATCTGACCTGTGGCCTCTATACTGCATGCCGTTCCCCACTCTTTCTCTGCCTGATTTCTGACTTTTATCAACTGTCCTGTCTCTACAATAGAGGCACAAAACGCCCAAAAATATTACTTAAAAAAACCAAAAGAAGCCATGAGAAGCTACAGTTTTGAGGAGCAAGGCACCTCAACTTTAGCGACCTCCCTCAGTTGAGGGATTTACAAGAGGGATGTACGGACAGTAGACCTTCTCTCTCTCTTTCTCTCTCTCTCTCTCTCTCTCTCTCTCTCTCTCTCTCTGAGGTTGATGTGATTCTGCTCGCTTGTTATTTTTTTTTTGTTTTATGTTCCACGGAGCCACAGAGGGATCAGGTGCTCTGTTGCGCACTCTCTCTCTCTCCCCTGCTCTCTCGCTCTCTTGTGGGCACAGCAATTATATTTTTAAAAATATATATAAACAGGTCACAGATGTGAGGGAAACACTGAGTTTGTTGTATAACTGCTGTTCCGTTTGCATTGAAAAGAGCTATAGTTCAGGTCATTGATTCCTCTGCTTAGAATATCCCCAGGATGCGCCCCTGTGGATTTCATCAAGGGAAGTCCACCAGGGAGGATATAAGCATAGATTTCTGTTAGTATTAAGCTTAACACATCAGGATCCCTCAGGTAGAGCTGGGCATAGGAGAAAACAGTCTGGTATTGCTTTCATACGTACTGAAAACTCCTGAAAATGTCCTGAATTTTTCTGGCTGAGCTGCTTGTCTGAATGCAAACAGGCACATTCTTAACCCTTTTCCCAGACTTTTTCCTGCCATCCAACCAGTATTTCCCCCCTCCCCCACCCCTCCCTTGACTGACAGGGTCATGCTGTGATTGTTAACAAGCATCTCAGGAAAATTACAGCGTCAGAGTTTCTGAAACTTTTTAGAATTTTCCGCAGTGTGTGTTTGTAAAGGGCTTGAACCTTACTTTGTCTGCTGCCACCAAAGTCTTAACAGAATGTAAAAGAGTGATTGTATTTGTTTCATGATGTTGAGTTTATTCTAAGGGGAAAAACAAATTCTATTAAACAAGTGTTCAGAGAGATAAGAGTGGTGATTATATTATCATCTGTCCTACAGATGTCCTGCTGCATCCAATTACAAGCTTAGCAGGGAACCCTCACAATCAGATGGAGTGCAGTGTCAGGGCGTGTTGCTGTTATGTGTATTAAGGTGCCTCTCTTATCTTTGACTAGGATTACAAATGAAGCGATGGGACGATTAAAGAAATGTCTGAAAAAATGAAAAGCAAGAAAAATAACTTTTTGTAATCGAACAGAGTCATTGTTCAGGTCAAAATGCAGACGATTCTCTTTAATTGTATTTTATGTGAATATTTGTTGCTGTTTCAGTTCTTTTCGGGCTTTTCTTATGAAACATTGAAAACAGAAATCATGCAATCATTAGACAGATTAATCAGTATTGAAATCATTCATTATCGGCAGGCCTAAATTAGACCTACAATTAATTTAGCAGTGGATTTTTCCAAATTGACGAACATCAGAGAGTAAGTACAACACAAGCAAGGATCTATAGGAGGAAACAACGTCAGTATGTCAGCTTTCTGACTGATCAGACACACAAGTGCTGAAATAATAACAAATAACAACAAAACAAGAAACTTACAGAGTGTTCGCCTGTTTGTCATCCATTGTGCAGAAATGTCATCCCAGTCTTTCTCCCTAATTTGAGTAAAAAGCTATGTGTGTTTTGGATATCTGGGGTCGTCAGAGTTTTGTGAAGTCAAAGTGTGGTCAGAGCCAAAAAAGGTTGGGAACCACTTGTCTAGCTCGAGACTTGGGGCCTTGTTGTGAAGGTTTGATCAGATGACTTTCATTGGCAGAGCTTAGAAGCGTAGTAGATCGAACAAGTGGAACAAATGCTGATGTAACATTTATTAGATGATGAGTTTTATTGATCCATTCATTGATGTGTTTTTAAAGCATTGTACATTGTTAATGATATGTTGGTATTACATAATTGATTCTGAGGTGAGAGCTGTGGAGACTCAAGAAGTCCAGAAGCTGACAAAACACCCAAATGAATTCCACAAAGAAAGTTTGAAGAGTGGGTTTCTGGTTTCACTGCGTCAGTGCTGTTCTTGTTCAACTCTGCTCCATCTGAAAGCATCACCCTCACTACCACCTACCTCTGCTAGCACATCAGTCCCAATCTATGATGACTAATTCAGTTCACAACCTGAAGTCTACAGAAAATATGTCTTGGTTGAGTCACAGATGTGACCCGACCACCTCAACTCCACTGTGGTTCCAATATCACCGGAAATGTTTCTGAAACTGTAGTTTTCATGAATATTCACTTTTCTGTTTTTCTTCTCCATAACTCTATAACTGACCCTTCATCCAGAAACGTCAAATTATTGCTTTGATAGTTTTGCAGTGTGTTCAAACTATTATTTGCAATGAAGTCATTCTTCCCACATTACTGAATATTTTTACCCAGACATTTTCATGTAAGGTCCAATCTGTAAGATATCTACTGAATTAAATGATAAAGTGACCTTACTATATGATCAGACATTAAAGAAACATGCTAGGATGAAGTGCTGGCTTCTCTGACAACAATGCAGCAGCCAGTATGTCCTCCTTCTATGTTTAGATTCTGGTCCTGAATGCTCTGGATTTGTTTGGACCAGAGAAGGTAGGCGGTTTTAAGACAGCCCCATACTGTCATTTTGGACACCCCTCTGTTTGCCAGGCAAACAGCAAACCAACAGGTGTTGCAGCAATGAAAGTGGGCAAGCAAACTGGTTCAGATAGATTGAGTCTACACAACCTAAAAAGCCTCTGCATGTTTCTAATAAGCTCCACGAGCAGAAACGTGCTCAAACTAGGATCAATACTGGAGATGCTTTCGAAAACTGGAGAGAGGTTAGAACGCAGAGAGGTTTACAGACTGATGCAGAGCTGGCTAAACACTGAAGCTTCAGTGTCCGGGACATGGCAACCTACATGCACATCGACTCAAGGGAGGAGAGTGCGGGGGTAGACAGCTCTCTCGATTGTTTTTCATTTGGACTGCTGTACCCATTTTAAACACTAGATGTCAAAGTTGCATATTGCTCCTTTAAGGTAAAGAAATACAAGCTGTCATGACAACCTCTGTAATGTTACCGAACTTAGCATCCACTTAGTGTCTGAAAAAAGCTGAAAAGTGATCCATTTTGATTTTAATGGTTTTTAGACTCAAAAAAGATAATTGCTGGTATACGTGTCACTAAATCTGTTACCGTCCGTCATTTCGATCTCTGACCTGGCTCTTTGCATTTTGGGGAACAGTGCACGAGGGAAACTGGTCTGATGCATACTCTAGATCTTTCCTGAATCACTACGACATCCGGGTATTTTTGTCATACTGCTGATCTCACTTTTGACTGCATACTGCATACTTCATACTGTGCTAAGAAGGAGAAGGAGACTATGAGACAAAGCTATAGGTGGGTTAGTTTTTTGTAGAAAAAAGCATCCACAACCTGCTACATGCACTTCATTTTCCCTTCATCGGGAAGTCATAATGGCATTTTTAGATAAAAAAAAAAAAGCAAAACCTTTGAGCAGGAGAAAAACTGAAGAAACATAAAGCTGCAAAACAAAAGCACTATTCAGACAGGTGGCTGACACACTCCTCTCATATGTCCAGCATACTATGACACATCATAATGAATAAAATCACAGCCAGAATGGGATGCAGCCATATTGCAGTGCTCATCATTGCAAGTTATGTGTGATCTATGGGATCAGTGGTTACCTTAAAGAGTAAGAGAGGGGTAAAGGTAGACACTACTGATTTACTCTTTGGCTTTTATGTGATACCTTTTTAGGTCTATATTAAATATGTGACATCACCAAACCTATAAAAGGTTTGAGTTTAAGTGCCTGTCTTGGTTTAGGCATATCAGAGAAAGCTTGGTGTTGACCTCTGGGCAGGCCTTTGCAGAAAAACTCTGACTTCCGTGTGACTGGGTCAGAGCTTAAACACAAAAGGCCAAAGCTTAAAGACCAGCAATTTGAGGCCCTCTTATGGCTTTAATCGTCTGCTTTATTGTTTCCTCTGCTTCTTCCACACTGATGAGGATTTTACCTCTATTGGTGGCTTTATGGTTGTACTGGCAGCTTTTTTTTTTCAAAG